GGGTTCCAAGTTCTTCTGTGGAGGAGGTATGGATGTTTTCTGGAACGACCCATTAAAGTATTTAATCATTAACAATCGTATCCCAATTACATTATTCCTCCACTATTGCTACTTTTGCTACAGAAAATAGTTGGTATAGTAGCAGTTAATATCCAGCATAAGATCCATGGCCAACCCATGTTTATGTCAGATAGTAAAAGCCATTAATAATTAACAGCTTGGAAAAGATCTCGACCAATGGCGTGCCCAGATTCTAGCTGGCACCAGGACTGCCGAGAGGTTGTGCAGGGCCTGGGGCAAATCTTTCCCAGGGGACCCCTAAGACATCATAAAACTTTGCCAGGGACAAAGACATCATAATTGCAAAATGGGAGAAGTGGTGTTTTACAAAATATTTTAAGGGCTTTTGTCGGTCTGGGGGTCCTTTTTTAAGCTGGGGCCCAGGGGGAATGCCCCCTGGCCTTTCTTGGCGAGCCTGCCTAATGCTTCCAAATTCATGCAGACTGGGATTTCATGAACAGTGCCCAATAGACCTTTTCCAGTAATTATGTCACGACTAACATTGTTTTCAACTTAGGACCACCTTAATTAAATGGCATGAATTTTAAGTTTGTTTCACATGAGCTATGGTCAGAGGAGCAGAACATCCTTCTTCAATCAACACATGCATAAAAAATAATTTTGGATTTTGACCAATAAATGTGGAAATAAGCTTAAACACGAAAACGAGGCTGAGAGGCATGACCCCTCTTGGCCCCTCAGCCTCGTTTTCGTGTTTAAGCTTATTTCCACATTTAATAATTAAAATCCAAAATTCTTTTTTATGCATGTGTTGAAGAAGGATGTTCTGCTGCTCTGATCATAGCCCATGAGAAACAAACTAATGAAATCTATTCCATGTAAGGTGGTCCTAAGTGGAAAACAGACAAACAGTCTTAGTTGTGACGTAATTACCGGAAAGGTCTATTAGTTAAGTCATTCTCCATGCTGAAAATTCAACTCATTTAACAATTGGTTGCTATATTTTCACCTTCTAGTATGTTGGATCTTTCTCTGTTAAAGATGGGGACAAAAAGATGCCCATTTCTGAACAAAAAAAATTTGTGGATGCCAAGCTGAAGAACAGTACAAAGGTGAATTATTATGTTATCTCTTCTATATTCTTTAACATGTATATGTCCTAATTAGCCGCAATATTTGTACTGTAAGCGGAAAAACTGTAAGCAATTTTAAGTCGTATGTTGAATTGATTTGTACAAGATGGGATTAATACAGAATTGCAACAAAACCTAGAAATGCCAATGTGAATAGAAATTGAAAGTTTAGACATAACATATTTTATGGTGGATGAGAAGAGAGAAAGAGGTCAATAAATCGTTAAGTCAAGAAGAAATCAAGACCTATACAGCACAATACATCAATTTGATTATTGCGTGAGGTGTGCATCTCCATTAGGGATCTATCTAGTATCTATTAGTTGTAGTATATATTAACAAGTTAAAATATATCTTGTTAAAATACAGTTCAGGAAGAAAACAATCTTTCGGAATTGTGCTCTCAGATTTAATATGTGAGAAAGTTGGCTTTTGTTAATACACTACAGTACTACACGAGAAGTTTCAACACCATTACCAGCCCAAAGATGTAGAAACATCAGGAAAGCGTAAACTGTTAATTCCTGACACGCTGACCGTGGTGCTAGTCCATTCAACCAAACTGAATCCAATCGCGTTTGTTCTCCGCGATGTTTTCCGGGTAGTATGTCAAGAACTGAATCGAAAACTGCGCGTAAAAGTACAGTGCTTGTTCAGCAGCAATACAAAAGATGATCTCACTGGCCAGTCATCAAGAAATAGCACAGGTACTGCAGACAACGTGGATGTAAATACTCATTCCGACGATGTACCGAAGTAAGCTCAACATCGACCGTTTGAAAACGTGTGAAGAGCGTTCGTGGGCGTTCGTCACTTAAATTAACTGTGCTTAAATCATTAAAAGTGCTTTTAGGTCATCCGAATGGGCAGTGGCGTGCTGGGTACTATTTTTCTGGGGAGGCCAGTCGGCTGGCAACTAATATGCGCCCCTATAATATTACCCTTGATAAACGAGGGCCGAAGGCACGAGCCGAACGCCGCAGGTGCGAGGTTCGCCTAGGGGGGTCCGGGGGCATGCCCCCCAGGAAAATTTTTGAATTTAGAGTCTCTGGAATGGCATTTCCTGGACTTTGGGGGAAGATTTGACAGAAATCTGATGGTCAGGAAACGGCATTACAACGTGTTGAAATTTGAAAATTGGTTAGAATTTAGTAGTCGCACTTAAATTGGGCAATGCTAACTGCTTCCAGCAATTAATCTAATCCCAATTCTATTCTCTACTGATCTGAATACATTTACAATTTACAGCTCTTTTATACAATAACACACGAACCCCACGCATATGCATTTTAAGGTTTCCTTGCCTGGCTGCCAAAAGGGCGTGTTTCATCATTATCTCATTACTTACATTACTCATAATGTTTCTTGCGCAAACAACTAAATTGCGTACACAACTTTACATTATCATAACTTCAACTATCTAATTTGCGCCGCTCTCGTGATTCGTGAAGCATAATAAAGGCATAATATAAGGGTATAATACCAGCAAAAAAGGGCATAATTCCCGTGATCGCTTCGAAGCCTGGTCAATATTCCGATAATGAGACATTGCGTGTGATCACTGATCATGTTTCTATATGAACGAGTGATTTCGTGTGAGTCGTGAGGTAGCAAATACGGTTAGACAAAATAGTCTGCAATTTAATATACTCACTTTGTCGCATATGCGCTTAGTCTGTTTATAAGTCTATAAACACATCTTTCCTTGGCGGAATTAGTAACTATATTTTTTCGAATGCGTTTCTTCCCACCTACTTTCAAAATTCGGCGCGGGATCGGCGCCCCCTTTTCATTTTTGCGCCCCCCAAAAATTGCCAGCCCCCTGGCCCCCCCTGCCAGCACGCCACTGCGAATGGGAATATTGTGACTCGAAACCCTACAAACGAAAAGTGGCTGGACCACAGTGACGAACGCCCTGCACACGTTTTCAAACCGTCGATGTTGAGCTTAATACTTTTATATAGTACATCATCAGAATCAGTATTTACAATTTTACATCCATGTACGTTAATTGTTTGCAATTATCCTGTGCTATTTCCTGACGACTGGCCAGTGAGATCATCTTTTGTATCGCTGCTGAATAAGAAAAAATAGCCACGATCGATGTTCAAGATAGATCGAGGATTAGATAGCAACAATATTGAAATCAACAAATACTACGGTTTTCCACTGACTTGGTATTGACCAATCAGGTGATCGCATTCACCGTCCAGAATCTGAACGGCGTGTAGTCATGAAAGGGGAGCTTTCCTGCAGGCCCTTAAGCCCGTTCTCCACTACGCGAATTTGTTCGCGCGACGCGAAGCGAAAACCGAAATCCGGCAACGTGATTGATCCGCGAAAAATCTGTTCGCGCGAATAAATTCGCCTAGTGGAGAACGGGCTTTAATCCTCCCCCGGAGCCCGCCAAAATCCTGCCCGCTGCAAATCAGGCCCCCCATAAATTTGAGGGCCTGCCACGCAGGCTAAGTAACACCACAAACATCACATTCACCTGAGTACATAACACCAACACACACAAAAAGTAACATTATTGTCAATTGTAAATAAAATTGTTTATTTATTAAGATCAAAACTAGAACAAAACAATATTTTCATCATTTACTTCTTGTCTCCATGTTAATATCCATGATCAGCTTGCTGCATAAACACACTCAACATTTAGCGAAACAGAATCCAGAGCGTTTTAAAGGTTGCTCACTGTTAAGTGTAAAAGAGGACTGCCAAAATTACTTACTGTGATTAGTGAAAACAGTTGAGTCACCCATAGACTATACTCAATTACATGTGAAGAAAATATTAAATATGGTGGAAAACGTGTGGTGAAACTGACATGAAGCTGAAATGAATGAGATAAGAATTGCTACAGCATAAAAGATGAAGTACTGTAGACAAACGAATTGGGAAAATTTGTACATTACAGTAATTAACACACCCTATACGTACAGTAACAAGATCATTTTTTATTTTACAGAAACTTTTGGACGGAATGCCAGTCTTCATTGAAGTCTCTCCTGACGGTATCCAGGTCTTAGCATCTGATGAGAAGGTTCAGTGATGTTTTTGGATTTTATTGAATTGGATTGTTATTTCCTTTGGTCCTTTTGTACTGTTGCTAATTGTTGACTAATTAAATATAATTACTGATTATGTACTAATTCTATTTCGGTACTTAAACATATACTAATGTTTAATTTAATTCTTCCAGACAGTCAAAATGGCGCACACACTTCGCCGTATTTCGTACGCTACGGTAGAAACTACGAACAAACTATTTGCTTATGTCAGTCATCAACCTGGGACTGACATGGAAGTTGTGTGTCACACGTTTGTCACAAAGAAAAGAGATCATGCGGAAGGATTGAGTGCAGCTCTTGGGAAACTTTTTAAACAAACGTTTGCATACACTTTGAAAAGAAGAGATAAATTGGAAGAGGCTGCCCAGAAAAGGGGAGCCGGGCGACGCTGGGCGAAACAACAGGTGCGGTCTTTTGGAATTAAAACTGCATGAAAACGTACTGTACGTACCTGATTCATACGAACTCTCTCCATTTTTTCCTACGAAGGTTGTCTAATACGTATCTATGTACTAATTAACAGTGGTGTAGAACTGAAATGAATAATGATAGCAAGGGGGCAACATGATAATCATGGAAAATAGTATTTATTTTTGGTTCAAGTAATTCTTCAGTTAGTGTTTTTTGAAGAAAGGACTGAACTTCAAATAAGAGATTCCGATATACCGAAGCTATTCCATCCATGTAACCATGTTGGCGCCACATACATGACCTAAAAGTATGATCATAGTAATCAGGTACTGATTACTAACATCATTACCGCATTTCAACACTACGGTTGCAAAGAACTTTCTAGGTTATGAATATGCCGTCTGCAAAAGTATTATGGGGAGCTTAGCCACCCAAACCGGCATAAAATTTTTAACAAGGCTCGGCCTCCCTGGGCTTCTACACCTCTGGTACTTAGATAACTGTACATCTTCCCCTTCTGCCCTTTGTTGGTTCCCATATTTATTCTTGGCATGTTTTTTTGTTCGCGCTACGAGGTTTCAGGCAAAGATTTTCATTAGGTAGTTAGAGTAGTCAAACTACTGTATAGTATAATCATTGCTGTCATTACTAAATTTTTCTTTCTAGTATATTTTTCAGTCTCGTAAGCACGTGGTACAAAAGTAATTAATCAGTTTTCCACATGCCAGGTTGCCGAAGGTCACAGTGCTGTGGCGAAGAATGCACGTAATGCAAAAACAAGATCTACTGATGTCAATGAACTGAGGAAAGAAAATGGCGCTACACCAAAATCCGCACCTCAACAAAGACCAAATCAGAGCACGGCTCCAACTGCTAAGAACGTAGATAGCAAGCCAAGACGGGTATCCCCTCCCGGAATCCCAAATACATCGGCTCCCCCCGAATTTGAGTCAACAACAGCTGCTGTTCACCCACCTCCCTCGAGGCAACCTCAACCAGTCCATAACCCGCCCCTTCCTCAGGAACAGGAAACCCCATTTGTAACTCCCTTTTCAGGTCCACCAAACTCTAGTCAGCCCACTTCTCCATTTGACGATTCCCCGTTTGCACCATCTTGGCCAACTGAAAGCCAACCCCCTGCCTTACCATCGCGATCGCGCCCCTCCAGCACCGGAACCCAATCACCTTGGGGTAGGCAGGATGGGGGCCCTCCCCCAGAACTGCCAAGTCGTGTCTTTCCGAGACGATTAAGCGCTCCAAATTCACCAGAAAACGGATTTCCACCCGTATTACCGAAACGCCGCACTTCAGATTCAAGTATTGGTTTCGGGGCATTAGGTACTTCTGACGTTTCCCCGACTGGCCAACGACGTGATTCTGGGGTTGAGCGTAAGTTAAGTGCCCCACCTGACTTAATGGGAGCCGTTTCTCCAACACATCCTCCAGCGAGGGCCACTCGCAGCTCAAGCTCGAGTGGAGAGAACTCCCCCACCCATCATCCCGTTTCCCGAGATATGGCAAATGCCGCTGCTGTTTTGCTATCAGGGGTAGACGACATCCCGCCGCCATTACCACGCAAAGGAAGACAACAACCTCCGGACATTCCAGAAGAAGTAATAGGACTTGACGAGGATGAGGAGCTGAGACAGGGTCTGCGCGATGAACCAAGAGTATCGCTGACGTTAGAAGATGAGGATTGGTATATCCCTGCCGTTTCCAGGTAATTATTACACAATGTCATGTTCAATACATCGCAATAAGTTCTTACTTTAATATTTTGTGGATAAAGAAACTTGTTCTTATTTTTCAATTAACGTGTGATGCATAACTAAATGCAGATACTTTTCGTGTAATATAAAAATTTATCTGTACGATACTTCTTGACATCATTATTTAAAAATACTATATAACAGTTATATTAATTAAAACGAAACACAGTAAAGTATGAAACCCTCATTGAAACGAAACGAAAATAGCAATAGTATTGAACCCTCACTAAAGTTGGAAGCCAGAAATAATAAATATGTATCACTTGTGCCCAAATTTTAGGGAGATCGTAACTGAAATGCTGGAAACTTCAGACATAGGGACATTCTTTGTTCGTGACAGTCAAAGTCGTCCAGGATGTTATGCGTTGACTATGAAAGTCATCAAAAGTGAAAATAATCCTACTGGGTTTGGAAACTACTTGATCGCCCCTGAAGCTGATGGATTCGCACTACAGGTAAGGCTAAGTACTTTTTTCAAGTAGTTCAGTAAAGACAAATGATGGCAACTTGTTGAACAATGCTGTCTAATCTACAGTCTGTTAGGTCTTAAAATATGTATAGTGTTCACTCGAAATTTCCAGCTGCAAAAACTCTCAATAATATTCGAATATAAGCTGCCATGATTTATTAGAGAGGTTCAGATGTGACTTCCGCCACCACTACCTCTCGTTGGTTTAGAACGCATCTGATTGGTTGATCGGATATGTCAAACGCACTGTGATTGGTTAATGGTCCCTTAATGGTATAGCGGTAGTGAAAATCAAATCTGAACCTCGCTATTTTCCATCATCCGATGTATACCGTTTTGTTATCAAGTGCCATATATTTGTCATTCAGTGTTCCTCAAATGTCACTTGTTTACACACCAATTCTACAGCCTCTCTTCTCCTTTATATAGGGTTTTGACAAAATATTTTCAGATATCTCCAGCTTAATCCGTCACTACGCTTCCTACGACGACGGCTTGCCGTGTCGTTTGGTACTTGCTGGTTCCAATCCTCTATTTCATGACGCTAATGGTTATCTGGTGGAATTTATGGACGAAGAAGACGATAGATATGCTAGTCTAGCAAGTTGTACGTCCATGATTCGAGAAATCAATATGAATGACCCATGGTAAAATAATAAAAGTCAGTATCCCAGGTTTTTCATATAGAGCAAAAACACATAGTTCATATTATAGAAACGTACTTATTTGACCAAGACTTTTTGCATTGGACGTATTGCAATTGTTGCATTGGACGTATGGTCATTAAGTATGGACGAATTCTGTATCTATGCAAACTTGTGGGGTCCAAAAGATGAATTATTCTAAACGATTTTTTAATACGTAAAATAGAATATTTTGTGAGCCAAATCTATTTCCCTTAAATCAGTAAACCAGGCTTTTTGTTCAATATTCAATTTTTTATGATACTCTTATAGGTGTTGATATTATTACGAGTTTTATGCGCAATACATGAAGTTGTATAACGTCTATTAACCATGGTTGTATTTTTCAGTTAGGATGAATAAAATTATTCTCAATGTAATTAATATTTAATTCAGTTTCATGTTTTAATAAATTATACACAACATTTGTATATCGTTTTTAATCCATTGCTATAAACAGTTTCTAAATTTAAGCTACATGTACGAAAGTTGTTCACATTTTGCTACAGGCTACTTTATGCAGATAGCGATAACTTCATAAAGCATGCAGCAAGAAAAGTTCAGGTAAACTAGGTATTGGAAAGCTAGTGCGATTTCTAGGAGATTGTACACCACGATTGTCGGGCGGTCGTCGTCCCACCTTCGTTTTCATCATCGTCGTCCGACGACGAGTCGCGGTTTTCGTCATCTGATTCGTCACTTGACTCCGTGTCGATCTGTTCCGTGCTACTATATCGTTTTATGTGTTTTGATGTAATGAACGACGAATCACCGTCCGACCTAAAGCAAACAAAAAATAACATGATTATGTTTTTTTTGAGGAAGGGTTTATGCACTTTTTATGCATTATGAAAGCATGTTTTGTTGACGAGTGTATATGGACACAGAATAAAGATCAGTAACAGAAGGGCCACTCAGCGGTGCAACGTGTCCGCGTTTTTTTATGCAAAAATATGCAGTTTACTGGCCAGAAGGTGCTCCGGCAAGCCATCGTGTTTGTACAGCGTGTTTATTGGGCAGAAAATGGCGGCCAACATGCGTAATGCGACATGCGCGAGGACAGAAACGTCAAAGCTTCCGACTTAAGTGAACCTTCTATATGGATCTTTATTCTATGATATGGATTACAGAGCTAGTTACTTGTTTCTCCGCTCCCATTTGGGTGGGACAGATATATTGCCAATCTGGAGTGCAGGTCAGGAGAATAAAGTGATGATTATGAATGGAGTAGTGAAGAAGTTTGAAGCCTTTTTCATCCTTTTCTCTTTTTATGGTCACTTTCTTCCAAAAACTATTATTCTCCCCTCTCGTTCCAACAGGGCTCCGCAAATGATAATTATATACGTCTCTACTCGAGTGTTTTCTATGCCTTTAATACTAGCTCTACAATTACAGACTGGGAAATTCACCTTGTTCTCTTTCTGATTTTAGTTTTCGCCATTTGATCCCAAATTTTCAACTCATTTCCACCGGTGCACAACCTCTGGCATAATGTCCCGTCTTTTTGTACTTCAGTACAACATAAACATGAAATATAGCTGGTAATTTCGTCGTCTAACGTTGCCAAGTATTCCTCGTCAGGTAGTGTGCGCACTGAAACAGAAGAAAGGGAACAAAGACAATAAGTTCACAATACAGTCATCAGACACATTTTAACTTTCATACCAGAAAGGTTTTATTTAACACATACCATTTAAATAGCCAGTCCCTTTATCTAGGTCGTAACCAGAGCTTATTAACAATGAATCTTGAACTATCAGAGCACTTGTTGAACCAAATTCAGTGAGATGATTCTTCAATTTTCGAACTTTACCTAGCGATTAAAAAGTTCAACTGTTATTATGTTGCATGGTTACTTAACCAATCTGTGTATAATCAAAAATGTTTTTGCAATGACAGAAGGTACATATCCACTTTATATAGCAATTACCCAACTATTACATCAGTTTGTCAGGTCATTCCTAAATATTACAACTGTAGGGGTGCTATCGGTTAATTAAGCTGCAACCCGACACAACTGCCTCAGCCGATATATATGTTCAGGGCCGTAGCAACCGGGGGGGGGGGGCAATAATTTGCTAATAATCATTCTTTTTTCAAAATCATGCAGACATTTATCATTTAATCCGTGACAAACTGCAAAGAATGAAGATATTACCCATACTTTCCTGCAACTTATTCAATATATAGTTAATTAAATACGCCTTCGCCCATTTAGTACTGCTAAATTGTAAATTTCGACATACTAAAACGCTGTTTTCTGACTATAAGAATTCTGTCAAATCTTCCCCAAAGTCCAGGAAATATGGCATTTCAGAGACTCTAAATTTAGCAACAGAGCAATCTTATTCATTAAAATCCATGATGGCGCCATCCGACAAAATACTCTATTGGATTATAAGTTTAAGGATACAAAACCTACTATAAACTTTGGGGAATATTAGCCAATACCATGCATGCTAGTTGTACCTGCTCTAATGTCCAGAGCTTTAATATTTGTACCATCATCTCCCCAGTAAACAACGTCATCAGTCGTTGCCAGGCAATGGACCCGCCTTCTCTTTCCAAAAGCTGTATTTTGGTCAGGAGAAGATAACGATGGTGACAAAGACTTTTGTCTCACATCCCACACTTTAACCGTGCCAGTAGATGAACCACTTACAACTCGCTCTCCCTGGAACTAAAATAAAAACACCACATACTATTTTCATCTTTCCAAACTCTCGTGTCATTCTGTGTCCTACCGACCATAGTAAAACTCATTGGTCCTACCTAACTACTTCAACTTGCCAGAGTTATAAACTGGAATAAGCAAGCAATAACCGTTTTCTATATTAGAGATCAGAAGCTCTTCCAAAGGCCCTTTAGACAGGAAACGCCTCAATTATTGCCTCCATCTTTGAAAACCTACCTCCCTTACTTAATACTAATCTTACCTTGACACATGTAACAGCATCATCATCGGTGTTTCGTGTTGAACAAATATCGTCACCAACTTCCAAATCCCATAACTCTACTTTTCCTCCCTCTAAGCATTGAAAGTAGAAATAGAGACAATTGTTTTGTCCATTAATGGCAGATCTATCCATATATAAAAATGCATTAAATTCCATACACTGTTATTCTTACCGCACATTATTCCACTTACCAGATCCAGAAAGCAAGACTCCTTTCCTTCTATCCAAGGACAGTACCGGTGAATATGCGTATATTGAACGCAGCGGTTTGCCTAAAGAGTTTGGATAGATAAAAATAATTGCGTTAATTAACCAAGACAGAAAGAATAAAAGCGTGAAGCTCATCACTCACCGTCAGCTAGGGACCAAATCCTGATCGAACAATCATGAGATCCTGTCACGCCAATATACCCTTCATTGCTTTGTTCACCTAAAGTAAAAGTAAAGTTAAAACAGAAAACCGCGTAATTTCTAAATGTTTACAGACAACACTGTCGACAACAAGTTACCTTGATTATCTTTCTTAACCAATAACACGGAAGTTATTCCGCCAGTGTGTCCTCCCATACTGCGAACTTCTTCTCCAGTATCTGTGTCCCAAACTTTTAACATGGTGTCACGACTAAAATATTGATTATTGAAAATTGAACTTCTTACAAAACTAAATTAGATGTTCGTGGCTTAAAAAAGCAAATTTTCTTTATCTACTTTATTTTAATAAAAAATATAAATAGAATCTATTCAACTTCAGAGAGAGTCCGTTCGCTTGTTTTGGACGCCATCTTGACTTTACCAAAATGTCCATAGAAACACTTCTTTGACTTTGGGAAAAGTTACCTTTTTATATAAACTTGTGTTGAAAATGCCCTCCATCCATGAAAGCATAGAGCAGATATCTCATTTCATATACGTACAACGATTCCCCGTGAAGATACGGGAGATTTACACTTCATATTAATAGTGTTTACATGTTGAGTATATATATATATATATCATGTGATAGGTTTCATCAAACAAGTATATTTACCTCGAGAGAGGTTAACCACTACCTGCAGTGATTGGATTGTCATGAATAATTATATAATCCAGGTTCACTGGTTCACTATTTGGTAATTCAGATATTTTGTATACTGAACAGAGTAAATTTCATTCTTGGAATTTTATGTTGCCCTATCACGCCCGAAATGTAATGCGTAAAAGTTGAACACCCTTTCTGCAGTTTCAGCGCATGGTAATTTACAAACTAACATGGAACATTTTCCCGATTTTTCATATTTCAACGCATGTTAATTTGGAAACACGAGGTCGAGGCAACATGCCCAAAATTTTAATTTAACCGACCCACTGACGTTGTCGTTGAAATCAGCTTTTCTATTTAGTTGCAGCAATCTTGTTGCTCGAATTTAGCTTAACTTAAATCATACACACCTGCCAGATATAAGAACTGTGCCTTCCATACCAACAGATGAAATCAAATCATTATGTCCCTCCAAGCATTTTGTAGTAAACGTCTTTTCTTCCCAATCATTTAATCGAGCTCCTCTTTTCTTACCACTTTCTTTCATACTCTGAGACTGAGAAGATGAAACCGAAGGTTTAGAAGTCACAGTTTCCTGAGGGGAGCTACCCTTCGTTTTCCTCGCGATGGCTGAATCACGTGTTTGCAAAGCTGGCTTACCGGAGGTACTTTCCGAATGGTCGCCATTTTTGTTTGCACTCGGCTTTTCTTCATGGGCTAATTTGTTATCCAAAACCGCGGTTTGTGGAACTGGTACCCGTTGTTGTGTTTGCTCGTTCAAAACATCAGCGGTATTTTGACTATTTTCCTGATTAATCTGAAGATTTTTCTCCATATTTTTAATCATTGTTTGCACATCATCTTTATTTTGTGTTTCTCGGAGTTTTTCATTCAGAAGCTCGCGTATGTTGGACTTCTTGGAAATCTAAGAAAATTGGAAAGTTGCAACCTCTATTCGGCTATTTCGCTATATTTCCAACGTGCATGAAGCGCGTTTAAAATTCTAATACACGATACACCTATCTGGCTTAGGCAGTTAGGGAACTCAAAGGAGTATGGAGTTTTAAATATTTTTTATTGTGGACCTACGTTTCATTTAAAATTGCGAACACGGTACTTATCGGTGAAGAAACATAACTTAGTAATAATGAGATCAAAAATTTATTCAAAATACCAGCCCTCGACTGCTACTGCTGCTAGTCTGTAGAAGTCGAAAACTTGTATTTTAAATTCAGATTTACATCCAGTTAACCTATGACGGTCCATGACCACTATTATATGATCCCGATTATTAAAAAATGGACAAAATTGTCTTCGTATCAGTACGAAATTAAAGGTGATTATCTGGTATAATGAGATCTTTAACGATATATTTGACCTCTATTCAACCTTTTCGGTCTCCTCTTCAGTTAAATCTCTTTCCAGTCGTTCCAAATTTTCTATTTGTCGTAATTTCTTTCTAAGTTTGCGAATTTCTCCTTGGCTCCCGGCAGCCGCCATCTTGGATTATTCGTGCGCCATTTTCCCGGTCTAGGGGGGAGAGTAGAAGACAAAATTACAGACTGTAAGTCTGAAATTTTTGCTATTCATACAAGTGCCATGGGATAATCAACTAGAAGGGATTTTACCTTTGAAAATTTCCGTCTAAAATCTCTAAAGAACTCGGGCACTTTTACTATGCACTGTAGAAAGTTGAAAAACGCTCGACAACCACCCCTCCCTAAATGTATTTTGTCAATAGTGCTTCCACTTTAGTTTTTCAAATTCAGATTCAATGAGAATTGCTTGTCAACAATGTCAAACACTGATATTTTGTGTCAATTTCAGCTGGATTTTACACCTAATATTTATTTATTTAACGGCTGTAAAGTTTCCAATGGTTTTCACAGCGTCTATTGAAGTTTTTGGTCGAGTTTCTATCAAAGGAAAGTGCAGATTTTGAGTTATATTTCAAGAAGCATAGTTCACTTAGCAACAACGTGGTGTTCAAATGGGATACAATCAGGACTGTATTTAAATCATAGTTACAACTTTACAACAATTTGGTTTGCGGAGGGAAAGTGCAGTAGAGAACTTCACTATGTCTGCACAAAGTCGTTCAACAGTTCGATACCTGTCTGATTTTGACAAAACTGTCATTATGAACAATTTCGAGAAGCGAGGTTGGGTGTCATGTGACCTCGAAGATGACTGGAATTTCTACTGGGCCAGTGTTCACACGGTCAGAAGTATTTTCAATGTTGAAACTGGTTTTCGGCTAAACGATGACCAGATTTTGAATCACTTCCCGAATCATTATGAACTCACCCGCAAAGATCTGATGGTGAAGAATATAAAGAGATATCGCAAAGCTTTGGAAAGAGAAGGAAATTTGATAGGTGTGGTATTAGTTTATTGTATCAGGAGTTTATTTTTAATATTCATATCTCCACTGTCTGTAAGGGTGGTGCAAGGGCAGACACCCCTTGAATATTGCAGCTGGAGGGACCCTCCAAGGCTCCAATTATTGGGAGGGAACCCTTCCCAGTTGCCTTAGACACTAATCAAATGCATCAATATTTCCCATGATTTGCTAATTTGTGACCTATTCAGTCAATGATGCTTTTACTATTATCTTGGTTTAACATGTCTGTCAACCCAGAGTAACCTTGAACATGTTTATTACATGTGGATGTAATATATATGTTGGTCTTGAAAAAAAATGTCTAGAATACTCTAGATTTTACATGTGGAAAGTTCACATGTCAAAATTTCAGCAGCTTTTCTAAGATCAATAGAAAGGCTACGTCAAGAAAACAAACCAAACATCAAGATATTTTTAAATAAATAAATAGGCCAATAAATAAAACAATTAAATTGAAATGACAGTTATTTGTCATGTATTTGCACCTAATATGTGTTGCAGATTGAAAGTTTTGCAAGGTAAATACAAAGTTGAGTATCACTATTCAAATATATGAGCTACCCATTCTTATGAAAGGTTGGAATTTTCAATCCTCAATTTTGGCTGCACAGTTGCTTTTCATGTTATCGATGTTGTTTTGTTTGAGTTGAAGGTGCTTCTTTCTGATTGCATGGATATTATCAGCATAGGTTTCTTACTGTTTTCTCACCATGAATCTAGTAAAGACAGAATTGTCAATTGTCTACTAATCACTTGTTGGCATCTTTCTTCTATGCCATTGCATTAATTTTTCAACTGCTTTCTGAAGATCCTTGTTGTGTTTTTTTTAAATATATATATTAAAGATAAAGACCAATTACTATATTCTCGTAAGACGGTATTCTCCTTCAGATCTATTGTTTTTAGACAAGGTGCGATGTCTTGTGACGTAGTACTGTATATGGTGTAGTATATACACTACAAATTTCATGGAAACCTTCCTGGGGGTCTTTCCTGCTCTTTTCCTCAAGTTATCAGTGCACCAGCTATATAATGTTAGGTAATTTCTTTGCAGCGGAAAAAGACGAATGTGGTCGTCATATCTACCTGGACTTCATTCCAGTCACTTTCCTACTTCCGGCAGACTATAATCTCTTTGTTGAAGAATTCCGTAAAAATCCCGCGAGCACGTGGATCATGAAACCAGCTGCTAGATCACAAGGCTCTGGGATATTCTTGATCAACCGGCTATCCCAAGTGAAACGATGGTCCCGCGACGGTCGTTCGGGCGTACCCACGTACTCCATGTCTAGAGATACCTACGTCATATCGAGGTATATCGATAACCCTCTTCTGATCGGTGGGAAAAAGTTCGATCTTCGAATTTATGTTTTGGTCACCTCGTATCGCCCCCTAAAGTGTTATCTTTATAAACTTGGATTTTGTCGGTTCTGTACAGTGAAGTACAACGCTAATGTTAGTGAACTTGATAATATGTTTGTCCACCTTACTAATGTTAGCATTCAGAAACACGGAGATGAATATAACCCGACTCATGGTGGAAAGTGGACGGTTGAGAACTTACGACGGTACCTGGAGGGAACTCGAGGCCATGAGAAAGCAGGGAAACTTTTTGATGATATGCATTGGTTGATAGTTCATTCACTGAAGTCTGTTCAACATGTAATGAACAGTGATCGACATTGTTTTGAATGCTATGGTTATGATGTGATTATTGATGATAATCTGAAGCCTTGGCTGATTGAGGTAAGACTTTAAATTTATAGGGGATCGAAATTTGAGCTGTTGAAAATTTTGCGTGAGTGAAAAAATAGTCCAGTTAGAGGGAACACAATAAGTTTTGTGGGACGTGGGGAAAAGTTTATTTCAGTTGTGGGAAACAGTATGCATTGCGAAGCGAGAAGTATGGCGGATTCTGGAAGTTACGGGACGCGGGATGGGAAAGTCTATGGATTAATGCGGAATAAGTAGATTTGAGTAATGGATTTGGAATAAAGAACCCTATTATGCACCGTCCACTTATACATAGCCAGTTATACCATTACCACAATGAGCAAAACTTATTCCGAGTATAAAGTAATCATTTTTTGTTTTAACGACAAAGTGACCTGTTCCACTAGGTAGCCACACTCAAAAAATATTTTAAAACCACAGGTCAATGCTTCACCGTCAATGACAGCAACGACAACTTCAGATCGGGTTATGAAGTACAACCTGATAAATGACGTCATCAATATTGTCATGCCAACAGGCGATGTCCCAGATATACGATGGAATAAAGTGCCACCAAGTGACGCCTATGGCAACTTTGAGTTACTGTATGATGAGGAGTTAGCCGCTCAAGAGACTGGGGATGGCCGCGATCTGAAGTCTAAGGGATCTGGTACCAATATTGGAAAACAGGGAAAGGACACTAAACAGAGGCCAACAACTTGGAGATAAATAGCAAGTGCTTGACACACAAATATACATAAAGGAGAGATTTTACATTTTAAAGCATCGCAGATTTTTTTTAATCAATACAAGAAAACCCTGTTCAAAAAATGTCTTTGAACCTGCCTACTCTTATAGAGAGGATGCCAAATTTAAAGTCCGGTCTTTCTATTGTTTATGTCACTTATGACGTTAAGGTTGCATATGTTAAAATATCATTATGTTCAACAAGTAAGTTTATAATGATGACTTTGTCTAAATATTGTGGCTGATTGTTTTGTTTTATTCTCATACAGTATTTATTATATGAAGGGGTTGTTATTGGTTTTTGTTTTTTCCATATAAAACTGAACAGTCTTTGTGTTTGAGAGCTACTTGTTTTTTTCTTCCTCTCTGTGAGGTCCTCTTAGCAACCTCCTATTTAGACGACTGTTGATTTGTCTAAATCTTTTATATTTACCAACAGCTTATATCTACTTAATAACTTCTTCTCTTAGTTTATCTTTTCTTAAAACTAGCACAGAATCCGGATGTCTCCTAGGACAACCGTCAAGACATGTCTATAAACCTCGATGTCTGTGTTTGCGTCTTGACGGCAGAATATGACTTTCATTAAAAGTATAACTATTTTATTGAGCGTTTTTAAAAAGTGTGAGCAAAGCTATGGCTGAATCTCTTACAAAGAAGACATCGCCAATTAAGAAAGTAAGATTCAATGAAAAGGTACAAGTCTTCATAATTCAAACTGAAAACAGAAGATCCACAACTCTTCGCAATTTGCCTAGCGATTGGATTCGATTTGCTCATGCAAAGCCTCTTTCTGAAAAATTGAAAGAACCGTTAAACCGAAGCAGTTTGGGTTTTGGAACTGGGCATCTTACACCAAGGCAGTACCGCACTTCAGAAGATTTGATCAATTTCTACTTACAAAGAAGGGCGAAGCAACCTTTTACTTATTGGGATGTTATGAAAGCTAATCCTTCATTGGCACTTACACCAACTTTACAAATTGCCAGAGACGAGTTGACCACGCCAGCCAAGAGAGGATCGTTTCCAACTACCCCTTTTCCACATCAGAGACGGTTTTCTACTCTTAGTCAGCCAACAACTACATCCCCTTTTCAAAGGAGGACTTTGGACAAAAATGGTCAATTTTCGGAAATTTTGGCGATTTATGGTAATAATCCTAGTCTAAGGACGAACAAACAGGCAGAACTTCTTATTGGTAACTGTAAAGACACTCACTTTGGTGAGGTAAAGGGTACAATCCACGAAAAACCGAGTCATGAGAGAAAGACAACAATTTCAACAGAGATTTTTCCGTACTTTAAGCGACCTCAGGGATCAACGCAGCGTCCACTTAAATCTACCAGCTATTTTTTGTACAAATAAATTGAAAATAACGTTTATATATGATATCAGACTTGCGCTTCACCATTTACCAATTATAAAACTGTGCTCTAGTTTGTACACTTGTGGGCTTGGCGGACCATACGAATGATACGATTAACAAATAACTCCTCGATGGAGCACCCGTGCGTATGATTTGAAAAACAATGTCAGTGAACTGTCCCACGGGAAAACTATACATATTAAACAATTAGTTTTCAAACAGCATGATACTTAAAGTGCATGTAAATTTGAAGCATATGCCGAATACAAATAATATACACTTGGCACGAGAAAAGATTCTCTTCGTTTACGTTAGGCTAGTTTTTGAAAAAGTGGAAGTTTCTATCATATTTGTGACTGAAGTCAAAAGTTGGTAGAATTCCATTGCTCTTATTAAGAGTATAAATACGTAGGAAAACACAAGAACCATACAATTATATGATATTGGTACTAATGAGTTAACAACACTTCTTTATAATGCCAAATGATAATTGCTCTGGTAAGAAGGAACGTTTTAACCTTGGCTACTTGCTTTAATTTTTTAAAGTACCTTTACATTAAAGCTCTTAATTCAAAGCTCTCTCGACGAGCGATCATAGTATGAAATTTTGATTTTGAATTTGTGTCGGAATCTTGGTATACGTATTATTCCAGACAACAGAAGTTTTGCTCGAAAGTTCATGATTGTTAAAATGTTTTAGGACAAACACTGCCAAACAGAATTTCTCAGCCACAACGAGGTTAACAGTGTTAAATACAAACATTTTTTTACCTTTGCCAATGCTGTCAATCACACTTAAAATATTTCTACAGCACATCTTGTATCTTAGCATATTTTTCAGGCAGGCAAAATGGCTAGTCACAACAAGCTTGACTGTCACAAACGTATTTTTACCTTGTGAAATTGGAAATTTCACCTAATCAGGCTCCACTCTCATGGTGGGAAAAGCCTTGATGTTGTCTATAGCACGAAAATGCCTGTTCGTGCATCATAAATACTGCTAAAAAACAATGCTTAAATGCACTTTAAATGCAGTATATTTGCTGTACCATTTTTTTTAAATGATAATTGCTTCACTTTGTTTATTGCCTATTAATTAATAAAACCTGAATAAAACCTGAATAAAACCTAATAAAGAGTTTTTCACTTAGAAAAAAATGAGTGTCAACACAAACCCTTCTTTCATAATTTCAATGTATAATTAATAATGATAATGTTATTGAAAAAATATACAATATTCAACCACGCATTAAATTATCCATATTAATATATTAAATCCCAAGTTTATAAATGTCATTCCAATATATCGTAGTATAAATTATTTTACAAGTGACAGTGTGGCCAATTAGGGAAAGGGCTAAGAGCTCCCCAACAAAATTATTTGTTGATAAGAGTGACATGTTTTTCGTGCGTTTTTCAAAGACCTTTCAACTGTTGTGCTTTGAAAGCTTGGATGTATAGGGCTTTTGCTTTATATTAAAGATGTGATCATCTTTAATATAAAGCAAAAGCCCTACACATCCAAGGTTTTAAAGCACAACAGTTGAAAGGTCTTTGAAAAACGCACGAAAAACATGTCACTCTTATCAACAAATAATTTTGTTGGGGAGCATGAACAACTTAACCATATTTCAATGTTATGTTCTTTCATTTTTTCAATTATATTTAAGGATCAATTATTTAAATGGCAGAAATGAAAAACAGGTCTAAGTAAATAGCATTAGCAACCGACTTTGAGAACGGAAACTGTGAATTTTAAGTAATATTCGATGATATATAAAGTTTTAAGCATTGATTTTTGTATTCTTTCTATGACCTGGTTTTCATTTTATTTCTGACGTTTAAAAGAACACGCTTTGGTAATTAGGATTTCAGTTTCTACTCAGAATGCGTGAGAAAGACGCATATTGTGCTTTAAAATCCCTTGGGTACAGAGCAGGTAATGCCTTCCTAATGAAAGCTCTAAGTCCACACTACTGTAATTTCTCACCAAACTGTCAAAACAAAGATTAAATTTTATTTACACTTGTGAAACTTGACGCGGCGCAGGGCGTCTTGAGTCACTGCCCAGTCGATGGCGTTGCAATGTTTCCTCATAGCTAGGCAAACCTCGAGAATAATCCTGTTCATAATAATAAATATCACGATTACCATTGTAATCGATATAGTCCTCGTACTTTTGACTTTGCATCATTCTGCGATGACAGCTCGCAATGGCCGTGTCCGAACACGCAGAATCCCTTCTCTTAAGGGTGACATTGTTATTGGGCAGTCTTTGCGTGTCAAAATTGCGTGAATCGAACCTATTATTTTCAGGAGCCACACGGCGCGGTGGTATCTCCTGCTGAGAGTAAGTTTGCAATCCTTCATTATTCGAGTACGTATGGTTCCTATCACCCGTCGCTAGATATCCATCTTCTAGATTTGAAGTTGGACATATCTCGATTGTCTGTCTACGTAAACCTCTCAAATTTCTCGGTTGTGCTCTGCGATAAAGATCCACATCATCGTAAAAGTCAACTCTATTCAAGTCGCTAATGTTAGATCTGTTTTCTACAAACTGTGGCAGACCACAAACGAACTCCTCCCTTTTGCCCTCCTTCCAAGGCTCGTCGCGGGTAGAGTGAAATTCCTCTCGTCTATTTCGGTTTCTTGGCAATGTCATTGAACCACTAGCGTAGTAATTCCCGGCCGAGCTACGCCCAAAATCATCAAATTCATTCGGAATTTCTCCTCCATAGCCCAAATCCTCATTAGGGCTTTGCGGTTCAGGTATACTGGCCAAATCTTTGTTTCGAAAATCACGGCGGTCATTCAAATTATCGTAATAATACCGATTCTGAGGCGCCCGAGATAGATTTAAAGCCGAGAGTTCCTCGGATATATCTCTTCGACCGTTTAAGCGTTTCCGTTGACGTGCAGGCAATCTTTCGGACATACTTCTGCGTAATTTCGGCTGAGGGTGTGCATTATGAGCCATTTTCATGCTCGTTTGAACAGTTAAGTGGCTTTCGTGCTGATTTTGGTCGTGCGGGTTTCCTGTACTAAAATGTTTTCCAAAGTCATACTGACTCCTTTCAATTTCATTCGATGTTCTATCATTTAAATGGTTTCCAAGTTCGTATTGGTTTCGTTCTAGGAATGTTCCAGCATGGTTTTCAAATGTATGACTTCTCCCGCGAGTTTGCATATAAATATTTTCTTCGTTTATCGGGTTTCCTATTTCGTGCACTGTCCGAGCTCTTTCACGACCGCTTTCGAACAGATTCTCGTCAGATTCATTCAACACTCCCATTGCCCGACTATCGCTTAGAGTCCCTCGAGTAGAAGCATAACCATTAGGCCTCGTCAACTTATAATCACCGTTTCGTACGCTTGAATTCTCCTCAGTAAACACACCAGAATCCGAAGATGAATTCGAAACCAACGAATTGCGCGATCCCGCCGGTAAACTCGTAACGTTTTGACTCCAATCTTCAGGGATCACTTTTTTGTTCGTTTCTGGATTCTTAGCTTGTTTTTCTTCCGAGGTTTTCTGCAATAGCGCCGTGATCTCATCGCTCTTAGCAACGTCGATTGCCAACTTGCCTTCGTTGTCTTTTGTATTGATGTCCGCACACGAAGCGATCAAAAGTTTAACTATATCAAGATATCCTCCTGCCGAAGCCAAATGTAAAGCAGTCCGTCCGTTTTTATCCGTCGTGGCGATATTCGCGCCGTGGCTGAGTAATACTTCGGCGACATCATACCGACCGTCTTTACAGCTCTGTTGTAGAGAGGTATAGCCCTGTTTGTTACGTTGGTTTACTCTACATTGCTGACCAATGTTGATGAGAAACTTCACTCTAGTTGCATCGCCGTCCGTAACGGCCTGGTGAAACACTGCCGCGTTCATGGTTAAACTCGCGCTCTGAAGATCTCGCCCTTCAAAACTGACATGAACAATGTTCCTGGTTCACAAAATCAACGTTTGAAACGTTGCTAACTCGGTGTAACCGATCCGAGCGCGTAGAATATAATACGTCAGTGTTGTGACAAACTGATACACTGAGACAGAGAGAATACTGTGAATACTTTCGAACAATAGCTAGTATTATCAAGCGGATATCGTTGGCGAAGTTAACAAAGTTGTGAACTTAGGAAGTCGCTCTTACTGCACACGCCAGCGCTTAGCGTAAAATACCGTATTTAACTAAGATGGAATGTTTACATTAAAGGGCCGGATCATTCATGCAGGAAATGGCGTTAGGGTAGTGGGGGTGGGGAGAAATTTGTTTCTGTCATGTCGGCCGCCTACTGTCATGTGTTTATAACCTGTGATTGTCATTCGCATATGTGTTTATGAATGATAATATATTATAATTTCGAAGACGTGTCGTTATAAATAAAGAATGATATAGGAAGCCATAGAAATCGGCAAACAAAAATCTAGTTCGAGAGAAAAAAATATATACGTGGCACCCCCGACAAATTTTAGTTACTCTGAAGTCCAAATGTTGACAATTTTCTCAGGTTTTTCTCTCTGCTTATATAGGTCCTACATAAGTCTTCTCAAATCTCAAATACCTGTCTTGTCTAGCCAAATTGTCTCAAATTCTCGCTGTAGTCTTATACATTTACACACAAGCATATTTTTAAATTTTTTTCATAAGTAACTTTTTGCACCCGCGAGTAAACACAGAACTCCGAAATGGAAACTACAGTACCGGTGTACATTACAAAACATAAAACGCAGACATCACAATGACTATAATATTGTATCATATAATCTCGATATTTTGTTTTCCAAACTATCACCTGGCCACAGTATTTGAGCGGCGCACTTTTACATCATCCAAAATGACATGAAAATACTGTTGAAAACAACACGTTAAGCGGTCAACCCTAGCCTGTATCATTATGCTAGCTATAGGAAGTCTCTATCCTGTATCGATAATATCCTGTATCGATAATCTAGTTTTAACGAATTAAGAAGATAATTTTATGCTTTCTACTTAATTTGGCATGATCGGATGGAACATTTCTGGCATTTAGCTACTTTTAGTGGGCATGTCGGGCAGTGTGGCTACTGGCCAAGTATATTAAAGTTAACATGCTGATTTTTGAGTACTGTTTGAGAGATACAATTGTTTGAGTTAGTGTAAGCAAAATAAACGATGATTATAGTCTGAATCAAACCGATTTCCTGTTTCGGTACAACAGCCACGGCGGACACCGCTCCCTATAGAGTGCCCCCTCACGTGAGCCTGTTGAGGAATTACATGTGAGTTATACCCATCACGAGGGCGAGGGTTGAGACAATTGAAGTACTGTGTAGTTGGAATAATTACCAAGAAAATACTTCAAAAACACTTCATCACGCATACAATCAATATACCTCCTACACGATATTTATTAAATATCAACAAATATATTTCCTGGTAAAAAGCAGTTTATGTACCTAATTTCTAAGCTGTTTGGCCAGAAAATTTCCCTTTTAATTTCTTTGGTTTATATATAATATCTCTGGTTAAACCACACCAAGGCTTCGCCTCATACAATATTTATTTAATCTTATACTATGAATATATCATGAATATTATATATTTTTACACTGAATCGAATGGTGGTATTTTCATCTACATATATAGGGTTTACTGAACCGAAGATATGAACGAAACACCGTAGACCGTGCACGTTCTACGCGTAATGAATCCAGTGCTGAGAAAGAGTATTAAGATCATTTAAGATTTTTCTACTAGAAATTAGTTTCATAATTAACTTCGAACGGCTGTGCGGTGTAAGTAGATACGATAATAAGTTAATTGCGGATTGCGAGAGATAAAAATGCCTGAAACAAGGAGAGCCTTCGCTCAAAACATGAAGTCCTGCTTGTATTCAGGCACTCGCAGTATCTCCCGCGATCCGCAGTTCGGTCTTAATTAACCGCTATGCAGGAACTGATGTTAAATCTTTCAACAAAATTGTTTGGGTTAAATGATAATTCTGATAAAACTTCATTATCTATATCTTTTGGCCAGCTGTAGCCTATAGCCTCTTCAAATTTCAGGACTAAATATTTTTAAATATTATGTTTTGCATTTTGACTAAGACATTGATACTGCGCCATTTATGATCCATGATTGAACATTTTGTGTTGGCTTTCTCGGTGTTTTTTCAAAGATAATAAACCGGTGATATTCAATATGATATTTTTCTTTGATTTTGGCTGTTCTCATTTTTTCCAAAAGATAATCGTTTTGTTCAATATGATATTTTTCTTCGCTGTGAGTTTCATCGCCTTTATAGACAATAATACAGATTCAATCACAACGTGTTTTGACTTAACCGTTTTGTTATGTGTGCTCTCTTTACTCAAAACTATAGTACAGTGTGAATAATAAGGAGTGATCATTAAAAATATTAATGGCTGCCTCTTTGATCCAAATGAGCAATATATAATGAATTATATAGCTATAAGCTAAGCTTGGCGGACAGGATTTATGACTGAAAGCTAGCTGATGCCCAATAATAAAAGAAACTACAATCAGTCACAGACACAGGATTAATTGAGGAAATGGTGCAAAGATTAAATTAGATCGACTTATAATCTTCCTGTTGTGTTCGTACAGGTCATGCTAATTAATGCTATTTGTGGCTGAAATCTTTAATTCCTGCGCATATCCAGTTTCAATGGTTATGACTTATGTATACTATATATTCGATGAAATCGTGGAATCAAAACCTCATATTTAACAGTAGACATTACGGAACTGCGGAACTGGCGAGCAATTATTACTGATCTAAAATTAACTTATAACTAATACGGATAATTCCTTCTTCCGCGTTGTTACCATGCAAGTTTTCTTCCTCAAGTTAGGATTCCTAAAATCTACATGCATGTGCACTCCTAATTCAGAAACGAAAATGAGAGCATCCTTTGCGCGTGTGCTGTGCTGGAGGGTGGATTCCGTTGCTAAACGAGGCCTTCAAGTTTTCGATCGAGTATCAGGTCGTGTGCGAATGATATATAGCTATTCTTATGCCAGGCAATTTTACCTGTCAATGAGAATGTTGATTATGTGATAAAAGAGCTTGAGCTCGAAGCTGCGAATACGGTTGTGAAATTCTTAAAATTCTGACGCAACTGGGATTTTTCTTCTGGGTAGCAAGAACTCAACACATCTAGAAGTAGACCTGCTACAAGCCGACTCGCACCGTAACGCATTGTAATTTGTCTCGTACTGTAAGGAGTAAAACGAGTAAGGACGCGTGAGCGTTGAAAACGGGCGAGCTAAAATCCGCACTTTAAAAAATTTGGGCTTAACCTCGTAGCCTCTCTCCTCCGCAGAGGCGACGATTCCATTCATTCTATTAAACTGTGATTCATGTAAGCCTATTCCAATCGCCTCTGCGATTGAGAGAGCCTCGTAGCTATAACGAGTCGGCTTATAGCAAGTCTAATCTATAAGTTATTTTTATATTTCCTGTTCGGATTGGCTGCGTAGACAAATCCAATATATATGGCTGTTAAATTTCACTCTTCTGTTTAAGATGCATTCCATCCGTATCATATAGGATTAGTGACAGAATTGGTGTTCTTCTTGTTTTGAATTTCTTCACACCTTGATGTAACGCCTTCACACATGCAGTCACACCTTCATCACAGAATGTTTGTCAGTCTGAGAAAATCACGAGCATCATGCAAGATTATGTGATATTGTGCATGCATGCCTACAGTGCATAACATTGTGCAGCTCGTTTGCAGCGGTTGTTTATATCAGAGATATTTTTCAGGTGTAAATCTTAATTCGTCTTATGTTGATAATGCAGTTTTTTCGTGATAATAACTGCAATAATGCACACTTTGTAAATACATGGAATAAACTCGATCGGTCTGTGCAACTATGGTCTGTGCGAGCGTAGGTATAGTGAAAATAGCAAGCTTATTAACCAAGCGTCACCCGAAAATTGGTATAACTAATTTTGGCGGCATTTTGCACCATAGCGCTCGTGTAAGAAAGCAGAAAACTTTAAAAATCTTATGTTTTGTTATATGTGTCGAAGATTACCACAAACTGATACAAACACGTACAGTTTTTAATCCGGTCTCCCCGGTTAATCCGGTTTAATATCTTGACGAATGACGACGAACTACCGACTACGTTTGAAATAGTTATTGTTATATGTATGCAAATACTAAATGCTTGTCATAACAAATTTATCCCAAATATTTTTTTTGTCTATGGTTTTGTGTTCGGTAAGTTTCATCTTTTAATTTTCATCATTTCTTTATAAAAATACTCTCCAACCTGCAACGTTCGTGCGTATACTCAATTTCGGTGCTATATATGTTCTTGATTCTGTTTTACAACACAACTGAGAATGTGATTTTTATGCTGTAGCCAAGCGACCTACGGTGAAAAATATGCTCTGGGGATCATATGTAAATTTTGTCTGCCTCGGTTGAACACAAGCTTTCAACCGTACTCCGTACCCGTTGTTCGTTGTCGGCATCCGGCTTAAACTCTCTACTATACATGCAAAACGTCGAAACGTCGTAGTAACGTCCAGACAAAGGGCCTTCGCTTGAAACCTCGACGTTTTGCTTGTATAGTTTCAGGCCGCTGAATCCCTTGTAATTAATACATGGTATCATATTCCTCTGCAGGATGAATGATGATGGATCGATCTGAAGCAGAGTTCAAACTCTCATGCATGCACTATTACATCGTATTACATTATTAATCGCTATACTATTACCCTAACCGGCTAAACTGACCGCGGCAATTTTATCTCTGTAAGGAGTCCGGGATTATAATCTACAATTCAAATTATTTATTTATTCTACCAAAGAATCATTCATATGAGTCATGCATACAGTTTTTTTGGGGGTTTTTTCACTTTGATTTTCAACCTTTCATTTTCGATACTTAGCCTACAACTTTGAATAAGAAGCTATTATTTGCATCTCAGACTCCATACAAAATGTTGTAATTTCCTGCAGCGTAACGCAAATTAATAAATTAAAAGTTTGCATGTATATGGAAGACCCCCTTCATGTGATGTTTTGTGTTTGGTGGAGCAGATCTAATTATCTAGCTGACATCCTGTCGCTCTTTACAACTAATTCACTCAAGATGCTAGGTACAGCCCTTCATTTGCGGTCACACTGTTCGCGTGACATCTGCAAGACATAAAAAAGCTCGTTTTGATAGCTCGGAAGCACTTCAGCTATAAATAATGTAAGACGTAGTTTAGGAGGATGCAAATGGCGTCGCATATTTCTCAAATTTGCGAGGACGTAACCATAGCATAAAATATTTCGTATTTTTACTCTATCTGTTCGAGTCTGTTGTAGAAGTAAACTTTTATTATTGTTGGAAATCAACCCCATAGGTTTAGTACAATGCAAATAGATCGTCATTCCAATATGGCGGCTCCGACGTCATGTAGTCTTGCAATTCAACATGCCAAAATTTGCCATGAAGTTGCTGATTCTCACATAAAAATGATTTCTTGTTCAAAAGCGGCTGGCAATTGTATTTTTTTCACTGGAGAATAACGAGGATGAAAAACATGACCCCGCAATATCCCTAAAATTGTTATACCGCAATTTCTGTGATAAAATACAGTTAAAACTAGTAAATTATATCATTTCCCTCAGTATAAGTGGTGACTAATCTTTCACTATTTTATCAAGGACAAGGTCGCCCTGACCAAAATAGTTAAACCATAGGCCTACAGACTGCCCAGACCAAAAAATATTAGGGGGTTGCATTTGCCCAGCCCTCCTCTCCTCCGCCTATGGATTAAAGGTTGAAGGCAACCTTGGCAAGCTTGCTTATCCCATACTGTGAAGTAACGACACGTGTTATTGACATCATGCCACTTAAATAAACCAGTGATTCATCTGATCCCATAGTGATCACAACCAAGCATTTGTACTTTAGTGAACTGTTAGTACACAAACTGTATACAAGCATTTTAAGGCCCTGAAACCATCGATGTGTGAGCTAACAAAGATTTTGGTCTCAGACTTAGATTGATGTTCATGCATGTATTACTAATTACTCATAACTTTTATTTTCCATGTAATTATTTTCATTATCTCATTTTCTCTTTGTCACTTTGAGTAGACAAAATGATCAAAAATCTTCAATGTTATGAAAACAGTCCTATTTAATTCTCTAACCATGCAACCGACCATATATGTACACGAAATAAGGTTGTCTGGGAGGTCCTGCATGTCGGCAAAGTCTATCTAGAACAATGCCAACTTAAACACACAGTGCGGGAGTTTCCTGACCCACTTCAGATTTATTGAGTGTTTTCATTCACATTGTCTTGAAATGCTCTAGAAGAAGCCGCAATGACATGCTTTGTGCCACTAGGCATATACAGTCTAATCAAACTATCAGTCCAGATCACACTATTCATGCAAAAGCAGGGGAAATTATTTTTCTGTATGTTCCGTTTTGACGGCCAGATGTTTTAGTATCCAATGAAGGAATCGCGTAAGTCACAAAATTTACAGCATTTCCATATAACCTCTACCACAATTCATCATGACACCAAAACAATGAGGGCCCGTTTGATTTGAAAAACTACCCGAGATATCGTTATCTCAATTTTTGCATGGATTCGCTGAATTAACGGTGAAAATAAAATAATTTATTGCCATGTACTATATAATATACGTAGTTTAGTTGTCAAAATTAAAACAACATCGTATAGGTTTCATGCACATTTTCCTTCAAGTTTATTTCAAATTATAATTTTGCAGCATTTCAAATCATAAAATTATCCTTGATTAGTTTTTCCACTAACACGTTCGAAGTATTTGAATTACGGCAATCAGAGCGTACGATATAGTAATGTCTAAATTTGTCGATGATTCCTAATAGATAATTCATAATAAAAAATCACCAGAAAGATCAAATAAAATGCCCATCAATTTAAATTGCAATCTAGATAAAGTAAATCCCATTTCATTATTTTATTTAAACAATACGAACCAAGTGGCATATCGCATATTGAAATTAATTCGATGCATGTACGTATGTATTATAAATCAGACACGTAAACGCTAAAAATAGACCAAATTCGTCATGAACACATTGCTAACTTTATTTAAAATAAAATGTAACAAAAAGTTGACAGTTCTTGTTCAGTTTTTCACCGTTTTTCTATATACAAATTAGTATAAACATCAAATGTACTAAAGCATGAAATGTCCAAGTAATAAGCAACATGAGACACTGTTCTGCAGCCTCCAGATATTCATTCAATGAACAAGTGAGAAACATCTGCCACAGATATGCAAATGGCGATATATGTTATTTCATAACATACGTGACTACTTAATTTTTTTATTTAAAAAAATATTGTAATTTAATGTGTGTTTCCTTTTTTGTGTAAAATCTATTCCGTACAAGTGAACAGACATCTATAATCTTGAATTATGGTCTGTGGCGCCAGTGTAGGTAGGCTATGTAGTGGCAACAATAAGAAAACTTCGGATTGATAGGATACAACTACCTGAAAAATACAAGGAGAACTTCGACGTTTCGAGCGAAGGCCCTTCGAAGGCTGCCTCCTCCGCAGGCCCTCGTTGCGTCATGGGAAGGTCACGATCTGGCGAGGGCCTGCGGTATCTTGTAAAAAAAATGGCGCCGGCGTCACGTCAGCAAGTAAATTTCTACATATCTTGAATATAAACAGCCTAAAAACAGGATATAAAAAAGCGGCGTGAAACTTGTAAATTAAACTGGCGACTCTTAGGACGTGGAAGGAAGCATTTTTTAACGATAAGGTTTTTGTTGTCCACACCAACGTTGCACGAATAAAACTGCCTTCTTTAACGAAGCAGGTTCAAAACAACATTTATTCATGTTACAAGATTTCGCAGGCCCTCTCGAAATCGTGACCTTCCCATGACACAACGAGAGCCTGCGGAGGAGGCAGCTTCGAAGGGCCGAAGTTCTCCTTGTATTTTTCAGGTAGATGTATCCCAATTGTCCTATAGACTATATACTTCATTCATCCCAGGCCTATAGAATGGCAGGATGAGTAGTTTTTCCGCTGAGAAATTCCGAATTTTCTCCCAATGGGCAATGACTATTATAGGGGGTAGATCATGGACTGCCTTGGATCAACTAGTTTGAACACGACGACGAGTCCTCTCTAATCCCTTAGTTTCCCCACATTCCTGAAAGATCCTTGATCTTGGAACATCACTCACGCCGGCCGATCTCGACGCGACCGATTTATCCCAAATACTAAATCTCTTCTTTCCTGATTCCCTGTACCGCCATGGGTAAAACCTGGTGTACACCGTATATTCCTCATTTGGATTCACATAACTTTTCTCGGTGAACTCCAGCGGTTTTACGACCCACAATGGCCGAGGTTCAGTCTCATTTGCGGCTTTAAAGCCGGATTTCATCACCACTTTAGTGTCATGGAAAGGTCGTGTGGAAACTGCAGGTCTTCGCCGGATTTCTACAGTATTGAAATGCTCCGAATTGTAGTTGAAGGGGCTGACTTTGTATACATATCCTAATTTCGCTTGAGATCTTTCGATATCGGGTAAAAACTGCCGTATTAATCTTTCTCTGCTTTTCATACTTAACGCTTTGATATCCATTGCGTAAATATTATTGTCACTAGCCATCTTTACCTTATTACTGGGGTCCATTATACTCTAAATTATCACCCACAGCTGCGAATATGTAAGTCCAAATGTATGTACTATAACCAGTCCCTGTCTTCAATTATTCGCATTCACAATATCGTTGGTTTTATATCGTGGCATTCTAGCGTGGGATGTAGCTCGGCGACTCTCTACAAGTAACATTGAAGCGTACTGAGTAAATATTTGAGTTAAAAATCTAAAACATTTAATTGTTTATCCGCGTGTGGTGGTTGCCTAGTAACAGTTGTCTCAGAGGATTTACTCAACATTTTAACCGCCGATTTTATGATCTATTTTGGAATCACGGTTCTTGATTAATGTACGAGATTTTGGTTTTGTAAACTACCCAATTAAACTGAACTTATTTAAATACACTGCATGGATAGCTCTATCGGTCCTATACACTGTTCTTTCTAGAGGTCTTCCACAAAAGGGCATCCTTTATCCTGCGTGTCGTAGTACTATCTAGTACACAACAATCATGGAAATTAATGGTAGACTATTGAAAAATGCTTAAAATCCCCCCCCCCCCGCCCCCTCCCCCTTTGCAATATTGGTTGTTGTCCAATAATCATGGTTTTAACCAATATTGTACTAGGAATAGGGGAGGGGGGGGGGGGGAATTACTATTTCTAGCGATTATGGACGTCAGTTTGTTAACTAAAAATAAAATGGCTTTTCAAAATAGTAAGACAACATGGTGCAATATGTATCCATGGCAGAGGTGTAGTGAAGTGAAGCACCCTTCCCTCGTGCACGAGAATGAGGCGAAACTATTATTAGCAGCTAAAGACCTTTTCAAACTCTAATTACCTTCCATTAGTTTGAAGAGATTAGTGAATATTGAACGCTAAAATCAACCTGTACAAATAAAAAGTAATTATCAAATAATTTAGCACAAATGAAGGTCCAAAAGAGTCCAAGCATTGCACGTATGTACAAAAAGGCCAAGGTCTCAAGCTTCAAAAGTGCAATATTAATGTACGGTTTAACTCGTTCTTAAAACTAAAAGGCTTTGGGATGGACAAGACATTCCACGAAATTCAAGCCAAAGTTGCCAAACGACTTATCCATAGCGATCGACACAGACGACGAAAGTCGATCGCTCCTGATATAGTGACATGTAACAGCAAGAACCATGACTTGTCCAGGCTCATGGTAAAAAATGAAGTCCTTTTCAAAAATCTTGAAGGTAAAATGTCTTCTCTTGAGAACGAACAACGAAGACGCGAAAATGAACTATTGAGAACTGAAAGAGCATTAGCCGGTTCTGTCCGTAAAAGAAGTTTACCGCATTTAACTAACAAGTCCGCTCAAGGACCACGAACTAAAGGGAAAACTCCAGCCTCGAGGCAACCGAAGCGTAACTCGTTAATAAAGGATGGATTACAGTCACCAACATCTTGCAACCAACTTGTTAAAAAATGGCTTAAAAGTTTTGATAGCGCCGAAAGCACATCTAAGAACACTTTAGAAGTTCCACCTTTCTTCGATTCTGTGTTGGAACCAAAGAGTGCTTTTGGAGGAGAAAGGAAGTCTGGCTTTGTTTCAGAATTGATCGGTGCAGATCTAGAAAGCAACGGTGGAGATATATACACGAACGACAACACTACCAAAAACGCATTAGAGGCACCACCTTTCTTTGAGTTAGAACCGAAGATTCGTTGTTTTGAAGGTGAAGCCTTGGACACAAAGGTTAGGTCAGGCAGTGATTTAGAAAGTGGAAATGGACTAATAACAAGCTTTTCAACATTCATTGATGCTGATAGAGCGTCTTCAAGTTTATATACGTTAGCCAAGATACGAATTTCTGACGCAGAACAAGACGGAGCCAGTTGATTGTGAGGCGAAACAATAAAAGTACAAAAAATGGGACAACCGACTTTATATCAGAGGGAACTGGCTGAGTATTCTCCTCCTCTGGGAAATGTCAAAAGGGACAGCCGTCCGTAGTTTTTTATGTTATAGTTGGTAATATATGGGGCTACAAGAACCTTTAACTTGTTGAATACTAAATTCAGATAGTCGAAAGCTTGTAAAAAGTAAAATTTTTTGGTTAAAAAGAATCCGAGTTATCTGTCCCATAGTTAGAAAGCCATGGTCAAACGAAGATAAGGGTTCGACGAGCTTTGGCAAGCGTGAGGTTGCATGAGAGTTTTCTCAACCCTCATGCCCCGATCAAACGAAAACAAAAGTTGCATGCATGAGAGTTGATGAGAGTTGAATGGATAAAAATTACCGCGTGCGTGGCAGAATTTTGAACGAGCTCAAAGTTGAGGGAGTGGATGCCTACGAGAGTGCAGCGAGCAAACGCGAGCGAGAGTTACAACGCTCATCAACACTCCTCTACGTTTGATTCGGGCCTAAAGTTTGTTGTTGCTCAAAAATAATCTGAGAACTGTTTTTTATTGACAGTATTGTTGTAAATATTGTAAATAGACTGAAATAGTACTTTTGTTTCTTATTTATTTCCCTTATTAACGAACATCATCTTCAAATTAAAAACGCTGATGTTCATCAAACTATAGTCCTTATATGTTTGCATTGGTATCAATGGCAACAATAATGACTAATGCTATAATAATACATGTTTACAAATGAAAAGTTTGGCTTCTTAATCTCCCAGCACGACTGCCATGTCCGTCCTCTTCTTTGCTTGGTTTCCTTGCAGATTTTTGTTCGCTTTGTTCGACTTGTTCGCTTTCCTTGTTTTTATCAAGCGATAAAATTTGCTGTAGTCTTAGAAACCGCGGATCTTCCAAACAATTTTTGCTTTCTGTAGTTGCTGGTGCAATTCGTGGTAAAATTAAGTGATTAGTGTTACCATTGGCATTTCTACGAGGAAGCTTTGGACTTGATTTCGGACTTGGTTGGGCTATACTCGGAAGAAAATTTGCCGTTGCTCTAGGTCTTAATCGTGTCTTATTTTTCACAGATTTGCTCTGTACGGCAAAACGAACAACCGAAATTGCTTTCTGCCATTTTAACTTTGCATTGAATGACTTTTTATGTGATTTTTGGTCTCCTTTCAAGTGTAGCGCTCCGTCAGAAAAGCTGCGATGTCTTTCAAGCAGATGAAAATGTTGTAATTCACTTTTCTCCAACGATCTTTGTCTTCTTTTCGCAAACTGAAGTCGTTTGTTTACTAAGTGTCTTTGCTCTCCATTCTTGTGTTTGTTTAAGTTACTTAAAATCGAATCTAGGGATCTGTCTTCATGTACGTTTTCACGGAGAAGTGTATCTTTTATTTTGTTTTTCAACACCAGATCTCCGTTCTTACACCAGTGCATCAGTTGCTGGGCATCTCGCTTTGTTTTGCTCATGGTGAACTGCTTATTTACCTCTTGTTGAAATTAATAAGTAAACTTAAGTCAAGAGTGATAATCTCTAGAAAAGATTTTAATCACAATCCCCCGACCGATGTATATTATTAATTTTTGAGGATTACATTTGGCCTCAACCAGGTCTTTTTACAACTGACAAACCTCAGGTGTTCGTTCCCAAGATTGAATCGCTCTTACTGTGAACGCAAGAGTTACTAAGTTAACACTTCCAGCAAAGAATATAATCCCAATTCCTAATTTTGCGTCGATTACAGATATGATTTGCTCCTTATAGATTGTTACCTTTGCTTTTCAGCAAGCATCATGTACCACAAACTTGATTTGTTTTCCCCAACTGTTGCCAACTTTGTTGTAAGCGCGTATGACTGTTGTTGTCTTACAATTGTTCCAAATTCCAGTATATCTTCACAAATTGTTTTAATCAGTCTAGATAGATAGATAGATAGATTGTTTGTTTAATAAGATTAACACATAGCAGCCAATAAGGCTGAATTGCGTGCTAAATTTTACAAGAGAAATGATTAAAATTAGTTATTCTATATTTACAGAAGTTTAAAATTACATTACAATTTATAATTCTATATTACAGAAGTTTAAAGTTACATTACAAATTAGCTATGAAACTAGTAAATTTCTAAAAAAATGTTAGCCAGTCTAAAACTGAATATCAGAATCGATTGTCAGTTAATATTATTGATACGCCTTGCAGATGAAAGGAAAAAACTGTTTCTAAATCTGTTCGTTTTGGTCTGAGGAACAACAAAAGACCTTGAGTGTCTAAGGTCGTAATTTGGAAAGTATCTAGATGGTACATGATTATGCATATTAGCTACTGGTGTTGTGGTGATTTCATTAAACAGTTTCTCGCATGCATCCACACGCCTGTCACTTAATGGTTTGATGCCCGATTTTTGTAAACAATCCGCATAACCTGTCAGTGGATAGATGATTGATAAAACACGCTTTTGAACCCGTTCCAGGGCATTAGATAAGTAGGAAGGAAGGGCGAAGTGGAAAACTTGACAGCTGAATTCCATGACTGGTCTGACGCAGGTAGTGTAAAAATGTATTATGTCAGCTTCAGGTACATGAGCACGTTTCAACTGAATAATAAAATAAATCCGTTTGTTCGTTATGTTACGTTATGTGTTGGTTCCATTTTAGATCTTTAGAAATTGTCAAACCTAGGATTCTTGCGTGGTTCACTGTCTCGATTTGGCCTGAGATGATCTTAAGGCGCGGAAATTCTTTCTCAGGTTTTGTAAAACTGATAACAAGTTCCTTGCACTTGGAGGCATTTAATTGCATCTTGTTTTCTACAGACCAATTTTGAACACAATCGACTGTATCTTGAATTTTACTGGGTGTGTTGATATAAATGATTTCAGATACCGTAGCATCATCGATGTATTTCCATCGCTCATGATGTGGGGGGCGTAGGTCATTTATCATTAGGATGAATAACCAAGGTCCCAATTTGGTTCCTTGAGGGACACCGGAAGGAATGTCAATCCATTCAGACACAGCAATCTTCATTTTTACACCGTTTTGTTATTCAATCTTCGCCTGGCATCGAAAATATAACTAGACCAGTTTTTAGCTTTAAGATATCGCTTGTCATGTAGACGTCCCTGTTGACTCTGTTCATTAACGTCAATGATATGCAACAATTACCGACATTTACAACAAAAAGTTTAATTCAAAATTCCACCCAGGGCCGCTTCTCTGACACTTTGGATCCCGACAGATATGGCTTTGTTCCAACTTAAAAGGCAAAATATAACTTCCAGGTCCACTAGAAACGTGATCTTTTTTCCGAAGCAGTTGTTTATTCTACAAACGCGTCTATAGCAATAAAAAGGGCGTCTTGTAATTTGCTTTGTGAAGGGTAAAGTTGTTAAAGCCACATGGCCGCTAATGACATTGTTCAAAGCCGAGGAAATCGCTTGCTTGTTGTGATGCAAATTAAACGACTTGTATAGTTGTAGCTAGTATGTTTGTTCAAAACAACTTAATTTAGTTAAAGTCCAAATCTTAGATTAACCTATGTCATCTATAGGTATCTTTTTCGGGATAAGTAAAAAAAAAGAGTTGATCAGTGCATGATATAAAAAATAATTATAGATTGAGCATGCTTTTGTTATGCGAAAACAAATCAAATCAATCTGTGACTTTACAGCTACTGCGCGCTAAAATAGAATTGAATATAGATAAGAGATGTTTCTGCAGTCTATATTTGATAAAACAAATTTCGCTGTATTGTATGTTTTATTTAATCTTTTTTATTAAAATTACACACCGACATTTAACGCATGAGTGCCGATTTGTAAAACTTGGGATAGTGTACTCAGCCACATAGTCCACATGTGTCTGGACAAACCTCTTGCATGACGTCATAATACGCGTCAGTACAATACCCGTAATACTTATAGATCTGACACAAGCTTCTATCGTCATCTTGGCAATCTAGGAATTGATAAAACGAAGCTGTTTCATTCCTTGTACGAAATATGGATGCTTTTATCTTACTAGTAACAACCTCTTAAGTTAGGTAAATATTTGCATTTATGCCGGAAATGGTTACTCTTTTGGGGCATCACTTTTAAACTGTGCCAATTTAAGTTCATCGCAATTCAGTATATGAGTATTCTGTATCTCATCTATTATATGTAATTCCGTTCTATTCTTACTATTCGTCTATCTTTTTATTTAAAATTTAGTTTATTCTAATTCCTCTATCAGCATATATCCTGATGAATAATTTATTCTATTCTTTCCTGTCCTAGTCTTTTCTATATTTTACTCAATTATTTCCTGTGTTGTGTACGAAGCTTTATTGTTTACTTACTTGAAGAAGGCCTGTAGTTTATGTCTAAAAAGAAAAATTAATTATGTTAACTCGGCGTTTACCAGGCACCATCGTGCACAATCAATTCACATTCATGTGAATGCGAGATCCTGAGAAATCCTTACTGTATAATGCCTTAATTCCATCAATGTCATCCGAGTCGAGTTGAATATCGCTATACCCATTATACCCTTTATATAGAGCATTCATTATTGCTTTCTCTTTGGACGAGTGTTCCAGACCAAGGGCATGACCGATTTCATGAACAGTCACAGAGAATAGATTTATACCACTTTTTGTTCGGTCCGTGAAAATTTCGTCATCATCGAAATGGATTTGGCCGTCTTCAGGGTACTCCGCATGTGCGAGTATTGGACCAGTACCATCAAACGCGTGTAAATCTCCATGATATCCTTTTACAAATCTTCAATTTGAAATGGAATATATACCCGTGATATTTCTGTATGATGCTTGATGATGAGGACGATGATGGTGATAACGGTGATGGTAGCAATGGTGGTGATAATGATCCTGATGATGATGGCGGTGGTGATGGTGATAATCATGATAACAATGATGATTATGGTAATGGTCGTGCCGATGATTATGATGATGACTATAGTGGTGATGATGATGACATTGATGATGATAATTAGTGATGGTGATGATGATACTGGTGATCATGATGATGGTGATAGTCATGTTTATTATGATGAGGACGATGATAGTGATGATATATGGTATACGTAATCAGAACAATCCTACAATCTTACGCAAATTTGATGTCGGCAGAAGAAGACTTATACTGAAATTTGAAGGACAGATCCGGAACTGCTTTCGTCCAAAGTGAAAACGCTGTTTCAACAATCTCTTCTTGTTTGTACTGAAGCATATCATTGGTATAACTCGTAATTGTGTATGTGAAATCTTTCTTCCTCCATGCTGCGTTCTTGCTGTAACGTTTTCCTCTCTTTCCCTTAATCTTCAAGTCAGTTACCCCACATTTCTTTGTTTTCTCAAAGAATTTTACGATATCTTCGTCCTTGGTAGAAGGATTAAAGTGGTAGAGGATTTTCAGTTTTGTGACCACCGTCATTATTTCATGAGGATGGAACTTCTGTGTGTAACCAAGCTTTTTAAGTAGTTTCTAAGAATAATGGAGAAAATGCTTGGTGTAATAGTGGTGTATAATTGTATATAGGAACATATGATTTCGTTGCGACAACAAATAAACACATGCAACTAAACGTAACTATAGTCTTAATGGGTTTTTTTAATATTTTAATAAAAGTTTGGTATTTAAAAAAAAATAGAACATTTTCTTGAACTGAATTAAGCCACTCTGCCGCTACCAATACACCATCACTTACTTAAAGATGGAAGCAAAAAGATTCCCTTTCCTTTCACGTCAGCCACTGATCTTCGTTTCGGACGGTGGTTCCTGAGACATGTTTTTGTCTGACTATCGTCTGTATTCTAAAAGCTCACTCACGCTCACACTCAAAGAGTGGAGGTTCAATCTGAGCTTCCTTTGAGCATGAGTGTCAGTGCTGTTTTTGAATAGCTGGAGGGTAAGTATCGTACCTTACTATGTGACTACTCACCATCCAGCTATTCAAAAACAGCATTGACAAACAAGGGAAGCTCAGATTGAACTTCCACTCTTTGAGTGTGAGTGAGCTTTTAGAATACAGGCACTACAGGCGTATAACTTCGTCTCTGTCGCATTTGAGAAGAGTGTTTCAACTGCTACTCTAGCAAAACCGCACAATTCCCGTTTCCGCCTCCTGTAATAACATTTGGTGAATCATGGATGGCCTTTATGGCACCCATGGGGAACATAGTTTGAAAGAAATAACTGAAAACGCTATCTGCTACAAATAAAACCAAATTAATGTTAGTTTGGTTCATTTCAAATATACCCACCTTCCAGAGGCCAATTTTTTTGCCATTACTGTTTACCAAGTTCTTGGTTGGCTTGCCTTTGTTCTTTCTTTCCACAAAAATGCAGAGAAGTGCAATAAAGCAGAAGCTAAGAGAACTTAACGCCTTCATTGTGAGAGTAGTTTAGTTACTGGGTTTAAGAAACGGCTCACTTCGTTTGATATATGCAGGGCATGACAGCTGAGCTGACAAAGCATCAGGTAATCAAATGTAAAGATTCAATTTGTATTGTTGCGCAACGCGACAAATCAAATATTTATACATAATTTGTAAATTTTTTTTGATTCATGAAGGAAGTCAGCATATGGCCACGGGATAGAACACGTTTGACTTTGTAATCCCGCGAGTTCGCGCTCCAGATATATATGGAGCTCACTGGAGCTATTTTATACTGTATCAGTATATATCATCTAAGAATGACATCATTTTCATAAAATTGACTGAATCGTTTTGCCTAGATTCCAAAACGAAATGGATCGTACTCCGTGGGCTATGTGTCCACACTGCACTGACTCGCACTGATCCCACACACGTAATTACTGCCCCTGAGTGTACACGCCTGTGCGAAGTGTGTGATGGCAAAGTTCAGTTCAGCAGCTTCACTTTGCTGGGATTTGCATTCATTTATAAAAACCAGAATAGCGAGCGAGAACATGACTGATATTACATGTACACCTGCATGGTTGCCCATGCATCGTAATTGATTCACACTTGTTACAAACTCAACGAAAATTAACATCAGTATATTTCAATATTTATTTTCAGTATCTATATACATAATCACACGGAGGCACTGTTGACTTTACTTGTTTCATCTGATGTTACGATCTATATTTACAGTAATCAGATTAAAATTGTAACTGGAAAAGCTGCATGTTTTGAGCGCCATTAAACGGACCAGTCAAGCTTTATTATTTACTGTAGTTTATCTGACTATCCATGCAAGCAATCTCTACAGTTTTTCCTGAACCCAAACAGACTTTTACATTAATTCCTTTCTTTTTGTTTTTCATCGTTTCATTTCCCTGTTTCTAAGAATAGGAGCGTAGTTTCCAAGCTTGAAAATAATCGGCCGGACATGCACGGACACTGTCCGATACCAAAAGAGCAAATATCCGGCAAAATGCATTTCTAGCCAGTACAGTGATATACTACTATAATTGTATTGATGAGCTATAATAGGCGTACGGGGCTGATGCTTTTCAAGGGGCAGTTGAAAGTTTGCCCGAATTTTTTATGCATGAGGATTGTAATGAAATGGCCTGAATGTAACATATTTTCTGATAAATCTGCCCAAAATTTTCTTTAGATTTTTCCTGGCCGATATATTTGCTCAAATTTTCGAGGTTTTCTAAAATTTTATGGGGGCAGTTGCCTCCCCCCGCCCTGCCCCCTGTCTCGTACGGCTATGATAACAATGTTTTATACATCAGGTTTTCAAAGAGCCGCTGCCATGAAAAGCTCGCCTGAAAACATCTGGCCACGAAGCAATTTTCAGTCTTTTATTGCGTTTGCTGCCGGGCCACATGATCAACAGAAAATATTTTTTTGTGTTTTTAATATGGCTTCTTATATTACTATAGTTTACGATATTTTTTATGTCCGGCACTGAGTGAAAAGTGTCAGGCACTACCCATTTGGTGCCTGACAAAGTGTCAGGCCCCTATGAGAAAATATTTTCAGACTTAAGCTTTTATCTTTGTGATATTCCTTGTTGATCAGATCTATGCGCGACCACTTTGGAGAAAAACATTTGCACACTTTGCCAGCTGTAGACAACTGCGTTGACAGAAAACGAGCAAAAGAGCAACGTATTAAACCAGGGCAGAAGATATAACTGAACAAACAGGTGTTCTTTATCTAGTTTCAAGCTTCGAGTTATAACCATCGGAAGATAGCAGACCAAATAGGTTCCAACGACTAATAATGATGTCAGAGATTGCTTCTTTTTACTATTTTGACGCGAAACAGTGCCTTGGTTGCAATTTCCCCATACCTTGTCCAGCTCTCGTAGCTTGAAATAAATTTTCACGTACGCATAGACAGTAAAAACGTAGGGAATGAAAGTCGACAAAGCCGTTATGATTTTTGAAATGTTTTTGTACCACGTCCAGAGATCGCTGAGTATAAAATTGGTTTCAAGAATTACCAGCAAAGACAGCAGTGCCTTTCCGAAGCTCCGTTTACATGTCACGTATTTATACGGGTAGATAACAGCTGTGTATCTTTCAACTGTGATGCCCAGCATTGTCACAATTGAAAATCCTGCAGAAATTTTCGTTCCACGTGATAGGATTGCCACGACCGTACAGTAGCTTAACTTTGAAGGATTGTAAATGTTTGCCAGGATTATAAAATTCGAGGCGACATATAAGGGCTGGATTACCACAGCGCAGAACACGCCTTGTATGGCCAACAGCATAGTCAAGGCTTTCAAAACTTTGCCTAAGAGTTTGTTCCTGTAGAGAGCAAAAACTACGATTGAGTTTGAGAGCAAGGCAAAGATAGCGTTTAAAGTATTGACGATGATGAGAAGATAGACATTCACCTGGAATCCATCATCCAAAGATACTACTTTGTCTTCATTTCCAAAACATTCCCATTTCACCAAGTTTGTGCTACTAGAATTGGGTAGAATATCTGACACGTTTTGGCTCATTTTCTCCCTCCGTATGTCAGACTTGTTACACACGGCCTTCAATATCCCGACAATGACAAGAAACTGTCGTTTAAAAAACGATGCTGGAAGTGTTAGTGATTTGATTCTGCATGGGATTCAAACTCGTAACACCTCAAAGCAGTGAAATTAAATGTAATAAAATATGCCCGACACTGATTTTACAACTTAATTAGCACTTCTTCTTCATTAGGATTTTTAAACAAAGGATCGAGATGATATTGTATTCGTTAGTAGACAATTCCCGCGCGAAGCAGCTGGTAGCTGCGGTGTCCTGAAACTAGCAAAGAGGGGCGGCTATTTAAACTTTTTTTAAAGGGGGTATTTTTTAACTGCGCTCGGCCCCCTGAGCACCCTCCATGCATTACATCCTTGGCTAGTGGAGCATATATTGCTGGAACCTTCTACGCAAGATATTTCGCGTGGGTTTTGAAAGGCTAAAGGTTGATTTACACCATAGACAGTCAAAGTGCATGTCTGTGGTCACAACAGGAATTTTGATGGGTAAATTCTTCGTCTTGAAGCATTTATAAGAAATGTTTGAGGGACCTGACTCAGTGTTAAAGGCGCCTGAACGCGAAGTTTGGGGGCGAGTTGTTTAGTTTTATTTCTTGGACCTTTGCTTGCCGCATTTCAATGCTGTGTGGTGCTGTTTTACTTTGTGTGTTATGGTATCAAAGGGCGAATAAAACATGACCGGCTAGGTAGCCGGGTAACCCTACGTGATGCGTTTACATGCCTTATATAAAAAAAAACATAGGCCTTCTGCTATATGGCTATCCTCCCCTTCCCCCCCATTTTAATAGCCCGCCCCCCTGTTAGTTTCAGGACACGCTACCAGCTGCTTCGCGCGGAAATTGTCCACTGTCGAATGGCAATATCATCTCCTTTGTTTTTAAATCCTTATGAAGAAGAAGGGCTAATTGTGTTGTAAAAGCTGGAACCTTCTGCGCGAGATATTGCGCGTGGGTTTCGAAAGGCTGAAGGCAGTATCAAAGTGTCTGTGATTACAGTAGGAATTATTTTTTATGGGTAAAATCTTTTTGATGGGTAAAATCTTCGTTTTGAAGAATTTGTAAATGTTTAAGGAAACTGTTATACATGCAATGGGTCAGTTTCCTCGAACATTTCTTACAAATCCTTCAAAACTTATAATTTAGTGATGCAAAATTCCTACTGTGATCACAGAAACTTTGATAGTGTAGACCAGCCTTAAGACAACAATTTATAGATACTCGATTGGCTTTTACGATTTTTTTTTTTTGGGGGGGGGCACATGTAAATTTTGGGCAAATCATAACAAAGATTGGTAAAATAAAATCAGAATAGCCCTATTTCTGAAGTAAGGTGAGATTTGAATCTTAAAATGATTATTTTTTGCTCTTAATTGCAATTACGAACAATTTTATGACGTAAGAATCGTTGTAATCTTCGCTGAATAATATATGTACATGTACTGCATGCATGTACGTCACAAAATGCATAATGAGTTTGCTGAAAATGTTATATATTCTTGTTATTATGAAATGAAACTACTATAGAATCCAGGTATTTGATGCTGTAGGCCCTGTAGAACAACACAAACGCACACAATATACTTCTAACACTACATTTCTATAAAACGATTTTGTTGATATACAACTTAATCTGAGACTGATAGCTCATTATGCATATTTTGCTCGCAGGGTACACGCATATCAAACTAACTGAATAAAAATGTTCGTAATTTCAGATGAAATTTAAATGTAACGCCTAGTGGGGTAGGAACTGGACGGCATATAGGGCCCCCAATTGCAAGTTTTCTTCAATGTGCCCTTTTCCCAAATTGAGAAGAAATGCTCTTAAAACAAAGTGCTCCTCCAACTTAAAGTTATTTCCTATGCCAGTATTCTTATGTGCGCCAGATCATCAGCAAAACAGTATACCGGTGTTATCACTAAATAATGTATGATATGATTTATATTGTAACTAAAGAAATTCTCGTGTATTACAAATGTTCAATATAGATGGCCAAGTACAATGGAATGAACACATTACACATTGCTTTATGTCGAAGTCCTACCAGCTACACGACGAGGGAACATGTTAAAACAGCGCAGGAGTGCAAATATATATGTATCTGATGGTAAAATATAGCAAACGAAGGAGAAAATGTTGGCTCTGTGATAACAAGTCATTGAGACCCTCAACAAAATGTTCTGCTAAATATGACCAGTTCTACATTAATTAAACGTATTGTAAAAAAAAACAACCATGAAACATTAATACATTAAGAAAGTTCGAACATCCAAAGATTGGAATCTTCATTTCAATCTTTCAGCGTTCGAAGATCGGAATCTTCAACCAATTATTCAAAGACTGAAATATTCATTCGGAGACGAAAACTAGATTAATCTGTTGCGTAACTTTGTGGTGAGGTGGCCCCAGCCTATAAACTGGAGAGAAACCCCTCATTTGCTAAATAGTTCAACTTCGCCACATTAAAGTGCATGGCTATATACATTTACCGTCCTATAAATATCAGCAGCACTAATTCTTTCTACAGTGAGTATATAGATTTGGGTTTCTATCCAAGCTCTATCGCTACCATTATAAGTGTTTGATGTGATTGCGCTCATGGGCTGTTTGTTTGCATAAGTAGTATATCTATTTCAGCCTGTTAATTCTAATACAAGAGGAGCGGTATCACTGTAACGAAATGATGACCGTCTGTCTTTCCCACGCATGCTACGTTACTACTAATGCGCGAGCAATTTTGCTGTCGGGAACGGGGGGTTTGGCAAATCAGTGTGTCAATCGACTGGTATTCAGACGAAAGTTTGGAGCTGGGAAAATCGAATTGAACGAAACCCACCTCATTAATGTTTAGTTTTTTTTTTGTAGCTAAAATAAGTACATAAGTTATCTAGCAATAAAACAGAATTGAGGTGGGTTACCTTTTCTGTTGGATATACTGAAATTGATATTCGTTTATATTTAACACCTTTTACTTATCTCGCCTCTATATTTAACTATTAGTAACCTGGCTGTGTAATTTCTCAACGAAACCTTGGCTCAATTCATAGAGTATGTTGTTATATTCTGTTTTCTTTCACTTGGTTCCCACTATTAGAAAAGGCGTCTTGTGATCAGAACAACCCCATTGTCTTGTTATTGTCGTACACACCTATTGTAATATATCATGCAATTAGTATATGATTTTGCCAACATATCGTTAATTAGAAGGCTTGTTCTTGGCAATTGATGTTGTGTGAAAATACTGCAATTTTAACACTTGCTACATATCGCATATCAATGCATGCACGCATATCGACAGACAATTTATATATCAATGCGCATTAATTTGTCTTAACCGAGCTGGCCAGGGAGACAAGTCAGCCATGAAACTCTCTGCTTACTTGGTTTTCATACTTATCTTGCTTTTTTGTTCTTGTGAATCGAAAAGAAGAAGCAGTGGAAGAAAAGGTAAAAGGCAGAAAAGTGGAATGAAAAGTGGTAGCCTGCTTTGTAGCAAAGGAAATAAAATTGGACATTGGAAGGTTAGTTGTTGTTAACAGGCAATTTTTTCTTTGTCTCGTATTTGCGATGAAAAGTGTGCAAAACCTTCAAAACTGCCCTGTCTTAGCTTTATGTTCTAGTTTATACATGCAGTTAGATGCATTTTTAAATGCCTCTTCCGGTTGAGAAACATAAAATAGCAGTAAAAATTGTCCGTTACAATACAATTATTAACGATGCTTTGAACTTGACGCCATATTCACAGCAATAGTCGATTAAACAAAACTTTCTGAACTCCATGTCTAATTTTACAATCAAACGGCAATATCTTTTTTTTCCTTCGGTCAATTTTTCTGAATTTATTTTTTAAGATTTATGGTTGAAAGGGGAACGACATATTAAAATTTGAAGGGATGTTTATAAGGCCGGTTTTGAGATATTCATGAATAACGACTACAAAAAATCTGTCTTATAGAATTTCTTGAAATTTTGATATGTTTGGCGAATCGTCATGCTTAGCAAACGTGCAAAGTTTAAAAAACTTTCACCGAAGGAAACGCGAGAAAAATAGTCCTAAATCCAGTTGAAGCTGTTGACGTGACAAAATATCGATTCGACATGATCACTATTTGCGTGGGGAACACGAAACGCGTACGGTTTATAGTTGGCTTTTTTAGCAATTTTCTCTTTGAGTTTTTGGCTTATATGTATCACACAGATATTTTTTACTTATTTGAAATGAAAATAAAAGATATATGTATTCAAAATACGAAACATTGAGAACACAATAACGCACTGACTTAATCCAACGTTTCTTAAATTTAGTTTTGTTGTGAAAATCGGTGTGAAAACTTTTCAAAACATTCAAGTAGAGTTTGACTTTTCGTATAAAACAACTCGTAACTGTCTGCATTATAGTTTTATTGGATTCAGCAGATAAAAAACTACATGTGAACTGAGTTGAATGACAGGGTTTACGTAAGTTTCAGTGACAATTCAGGAGTGCCTTCAAGACAGTATAAAATATAATTTCAGTCCGTGACAGTGTTGTTGAACATTGTGAGCATTATGAAATACAGTACTGAACGTATTAAATATATAAAAAAACACACTGAATGTAGGTAAAAACTAGCTAACAACATACGTACTGTTCGAATGTTGAAAAGTTTAGGATTATAATAAAAAACTGGCGTTTTCTTTGTAGATAAAAATACAAAAACAACTTCCCGCGGCTTGTTTACTTGTTTCAAGATTTTTACCGGGCCACGACGATTCCATGCGCGAGTCGCGAGGATGACGTCTGAGCTATATAAATATTTTAAACTGGACTATAACTGTAGGGAGCCACCTTAACTGATTTTTGCCTGTGAACTTAACATGAATGCTCAAATCAAACAGTTCATTCTTGAAAATAAATGGACAAGCGGAATTAGTACCCTGGAACAATACTGACCTGCTGTTGGCTCAGCCGCTCAGGGATTATTCATGAAGCATAGATTAGTAGGAAAGGCATCTGGTCGTTTCATCCCCTTGCCATTTCGTCCCAGGTCGTTTTAGTCCCTTGCTGTTTCTTCCAAGGTTGTGTCGCCCCCTTTACGTTTCGTCCCCACACTAGATATCGTTTTCTGTATAAACTACTTTATCTTACTTTTTTATGAACTATATACATAACATATATTTATTTTCATTTCTACTTTTATGAGATTGTATCTCAGTGGATTGTATGCCTGGATATAATACACATTTTTGTATTTAAATTCTGAAACTTAATTTGAAATGTAACTTAAATATTTGGCTTTTATTTCACAATAACGTACATTACTGTTGTCAGTGACTATTATAGTGACACTTCACTTTACTTTATTTTAACTGGAACTGAGGGAAACTAGACCAATGACTGCCAGTGATTGGTTTAGACATCAGACTGGAACAAAGTCAAATTAGTGAAAATGAAGCAATCTGATTGGCTGAGGAGCCTTTCAGAGAGGGCCAGTTTTTTTCATCCGGCCCGCTCTGAAACGCAACTGCCCGCTGTGAAATGCAACTGCCCGCTCCGGTTTTCGCACCAAAAACTGAGGAGTGAAACACTTTTTAAATGAAAAAATCTGCCAAAAACGTTTGAAAAACATAGCCTAATGATAGTCAGATTCAGAATACAAAAATGAATTGCATCAAGCCCTAAAGACTTTATACTAAGCACAATGTTCACCAGAATTGACAACAATATTTTTATAGAAATGCAACTGAAAGTTATTTTGACATTTATAAAACTTTAATACGTCAAGAAAATTATATATTTTTTAAGTGCTCATGTATTCGGCCACTTAAAAGCGAAAAAATTACAGCTGAAACAGATATTGTAAAATAAATGTCTTTCTATTTAATTAAAAGAAGGTTTAACTGCAGCAGTGAAAACAAGCCACAAATATATTCTCTGCCTATTTGTGTCATACATTTTTCACTGATATAAATATTGTAAACAAAGTAAAAATTTGTGTTTAAAAACACTTTTTTCAAGCATATTATCGTGAAACGACAAGCAAAAATACAAAAATATAAAAATAATATACTTTTTTCATTGTTTTTTTAGTAGAAAAACGTTGATTAAATCAAAACAGATTCATTTTTATATGTTTTTGATCGGATCTGAACATGAACCTGTCGTTGTCAGGAGCAACTGATTTTGTCAAAGCCAAAACGCCAGGCATAAAAGTTTTTAT